GCATCGCGGCCGAGCCACGGAAGCCGGGGCTCTGGTCATGCCCGGGGGCGAGGGGCCTTACGCCAGAGGCGAGGACCGGGGCGATGATCACACGCGCCCATGTGCACGATGATCACGGTACGCCACTGGCACATCGGCCCCTGTCTCAACATGGCAAATCGTTGGGGGCTAGTCGTGAACACGGTGCGCGGACTTGCCACCCAGCCCGGACGACGGGCAGTTCGTGTCCCGAAGTGGACAAATGAACGGTGCGCGCGCGTGCGTGTGTGTGTGTGTGTGTTAGCGTGGTGGTGGTGTCCGGCCTCGTCGCCATCCGCTGGGCTGGCAGTGTGGGGCCGCCACGGCAAGGGCCTTGGCATCGGTGCCCGCATCTCCCTCCTCCTTCAGGAGGAGACAGAGCGAGGACGTGGACCGCACCTGCGCTGTTAGATCGCCCCTGGCCCAAAGGGGAGGGCCACAAAGTCCACTATTCCGGCATCGACATCCACACGCCTCCTCGCCCTTCCCTCCCCCCCTCCTCTCTCTCTCTCCCTCTCCTCTGTGCAGCCGGCGTACTGGCGACCTTGGTGTGCTTACCCCATCACATCCGTTCATTTGCCTGTCCCGTTCCTTCCCGGCTTGCGTCATCCCTTCCCTCCCCTCCTCTGTCATTGCCCGGTCGCGCCGCCGCCGCCGCCGCCACCGCCGCCGCCGCCGCCGCTGCCGCCACCACCACTGCTGCCGCTGCTGCCAGTCCTCCTCTTCGCCGGAGAGAAAGCCGCCTGATGTCTCCCCACAAGGGGGGTCGTCTGCCGCCTCTGCCCACGGCGTCCGCGCAGCCGCCTCCGCCTCTCCCTCATCCTTCGCAGGGCCGCCACCAGCCACTCCCACCTTCAGTCCCGACTCCCCCTACACACACGCAGCCCGCCAGAAGGCACGGCGAGATCTCCGAGGGCCCGATGGCTGACTCCCACGCCGTTGCCACCAGTCTGGTCGTCGAGGAGATCTCCCGGCTGGTGTTTGCCAATGTCACCCGGCGCCTTGTCCCGCCGTTGGCATCGAAGTTCCTCCGAAACTTCACCCTTGCGCCACCAGCCATCTCAACACCGGCGCCACCGGCCCCATCGACACCATCAGTTCCACCGGCCAAAGCCCCGTCCGGGTCTGTGATATCGCTGTCAAGCTCGATTGCCCGGGATGCGACCCCGAGATCTTCCCTGTCCCAGCTTCCTGGGAGGACTTCGTCCCCTCCGCCCTCGGCAGCCCGACGCAAATCGCTATCTTGGGAGTCGAGCCACCGCGGCCGAGTTTCTGAACGCCAGTCGCGCATCGATCGCCACTGGCGTCGGTCAGCCAGTATCGCACGCTCAGGCTCCCCCCTTCCCCGGCGGGTACCCATCAGCCGGCGATCTCGCTCGCGGTCATGGTCGCGGTCGCGATCTCGCTCACGGTCATGGTCGCGATCTCGCTCACGGTCATGGTCGCGATCTCGTTCGCGGTCGTGGTCACGATCTCGTTCGCGGTCGTGGTCGCGATCTCGTTCGCGGTCGTGGTCGCGGTCGCGGTCGCGGTCGCTGTCACCGGCTGATCGGCGCGGCTCCCGGCAGGCACTCGCATCTACGACGCCCCGCCGACGTTCGATTCGCCCGGGATACCGCCCAGGATCTCGATCTCGATCTCGATCTCGGCCTCGGTCTCGGTCTCGGTCTCGGTCTCGGCCTCGATCTCAGCATCGGCCTCGATCTCGATCTCGACCTCGTTTTCGGTCACGGTCACGGTCACGGTCACGGTCACGGTCACGGTCACGGTCACGGTCACGGTCACGGTCACGGTCAGAGCTGCAGTCGAGTTCACGCTCCCGAGACTGGTCCCCCTCCTTGCGCACAGGTCGTCGCCTCACTGTTCCTGGCCGGCTGTCCAATCGTCGCTCGCGATCTCGGTCCGTATCCCGGCGCTCACGCTCGCCTCGGCAGTCTCCCAAGAGGCGCATGTTTGCGCGGTCGCCCTCACGGTCACTCTCGCGGTCGCCTTCGCGGTCGCCCTCTCCAAGTCCGATTGTTCGGCCGGCTGGTTCCTGGCCAGTTCAGCCCCCAGCTGTGTCAGGGGCCCGGTCTCGCTCAGCTCGGCGGGGCCGTTCGCCCTCACCACTCGATGCTCGGTCCCGGTCACCTTCTCACATCGGATCCCGGTCGTTGTCTCGCACCGAGTCCCGCTCGCCCCATCGATCCAAGCCTTGGCCAGCTCAGCGAACAATGTTCCGGTCGCCCCGGCGTGCCAGTTCCCCATCATCCCAACAGAGCCGAGCTTCAAACACCCCGACAAGAGGTGGTGGGCAAGCCCGCCGGCTTCGGTCAGTATCACCGATCAGCTCGCGCTCCCCCTCGCGTTTCCCCTCGCGCTCCCCCTCGCGCTCCCCCTCGCGTTCCCCCTCGCGCTCCCCCTCGCGCTCTCGCTCGCGCTCTCGCTCGCGATCTCGCTCGCGCTCTCGCTCGCGCTCTTGTTTGCCCGTCATTTCGCGCCGCTCTCCTTCAGTGTCTCCGCCTCCAGGGGCCAAATCCCCCTGGCCGACTGGTCGAAAGCGCCCGGCCATCGATACACCGGACTCGATCTTCAGCTCGGCCTCGAAGAAGTCTCGCCCTCCTCCCCCTCCTGCTCCCACAGATGAGGATCTTCCTCGCTTCAAGCCGGAGGATGACCCTGTCGATGTCCCTCTTGTAGGCACGAGTGTGGTCTCGTCTCTCGCCGCGAATTCTCGCCGCGATTCAATCCCTCCTTCCTCAGCCCCTGCTTCCATCACCACCTCCACTGCCTCCTCCTCCTCTTCTTCTTTCTCCTCCTCTTCGTCTTCCTCTTCCTCCTCTTCCTCCTCTTCCTCCTCCTCTGCTTCCTCTGCTTCCTCTTCTTCAAAGAAGGGCTTCAGCACCGTGGCCAGCCTAGCTGGTCTCGGATTGGACGATGCTTCAGTTGCAGCACTCTTCGTCAATCAGCCTTCCCGTCGGGCGGCGGCCCAGCGAGCCAGCTCGCTGATTGCCTCCTCGTGGCCGGCGTCTCTCAGCTCCGCCGACTCCCTAGATGCGGGTGTGAACCCTCCCGGGCGTGCGAGCTCGCGTGGCAAGGCGCGTTCGACCTCTGCTTCTGGCACTGCGCCCCGACGCCGGGCATCCATCGTGTCCCAGCGTTCAGCTCGACACTTGCCAGGTGACTCGACGGATGAGGACTTGCAGGCCTTCGGGGGCCAGCAGCGAGATGTCCCCTCTCCAGGGCAATCTTCTCGCCCGGAGTCCGACGGCGCCCCCCGGCCCCAAGGTGACCGGTGCTCACCGCCTGCATCCCAACCGGACTTGGACCCTACCTGGCCGCCAGCTAGCGCGCTGGTCAAGCCGGCGAGGTCCATGTCCCTGCCACCCCCGTCGGAGGCATCTGCCCCGATCTGTGATATGCCTTCTGGTGGCGAGCTTGAGGTGGAAGACCTGTCTGACTTTCACCCGGGCACTCGGGCCGAGATCACCGTCACCCCGAATCCCGATCCCAAGGGAATTTTCCGTTCCACCACCCCGCTTCTGGTCCATGGTGCGGCGGGATCTGGCTGGCCGGCAGCCGCTGATGCTGCAGCGCTCCCCTCCTTCCGGCGGGTCTTTGCACAGGCATCGATGGCGGCATCCTGTTCCTCGACTTCGGGCTCCTCCTCGTCCTCGGCCTTGGCCTCTTCCTCGAGCACCGTGGCGCAGGCTTCTGGCGATCATGGCAATGCCGCCGATGGAGGCCCGCACTATGTATCTGTCTTCCCTCGTGCTGCGATCGGCTGTGGTGGCAGTCCGATCACCAGTCTCAGCACCACAGACGGCCACACATTGGCTGTTCCCTCGCAGCTTCTCTCCACGAGTGGTTTCAATCCCCGCAAGGATGTCCGTGTGCGTAGTCTCCCTGCCTCCTTCTCCCTCTCCCTCTTCCTCTCGCACGCACGCACGCACGCACGCACGCACGCACGCACGCACGCACGCACGCACGCACGCACGCACGCACGCACGCACATGCTCGTTTCTCTGACTCTACTTCCCCAAATTGCGGGTGTCAATTCGACACCTGTTGGCGTTTCCTCCGCCTTTCAGGACGACGGATCAACACAGCTGCTGGTGGAGCGATTCCCCGGGGCAGCCCAAGCTGTGGAGGAGCTTCTGCGTCTCATTGGCCCGGAGCTGGCTCCCAAAGACCGCCTGACCCCGGCAGCACTGGCCTTTTGGAGGCCTTCCTCTGCTCTGGAGGCCTCGCAGAACACGACGCTCTTCCGATCTGTCTCATTGGCCCGGAGCTGGCTCCCAAAGACCGCCTGACCCCGGCAGCACTGGCCTTTTGGAGGCCTTCCTCTGCTCTGGAGGCCTCGCAGATGCCTGCTCGTCGTGCGTGCTGACATCCACACCCCCTCTCGCACGCCCCGCTCCGTGTACTGACCGAATCCCAGCCCACGACGCGGGATGTGCTCGGTGCTTGCCCTATCGGCCGGTGTCGGTCATTGACAAGGTGCGCCTGCGGCGCGTTTGGTCCTGGACCTCGTGGGCGGTGCATCGGTTCAACCCGCCGTCGGTGTTCTTCCCGCCCGTGCCGAGCCAATCCCCGCACGCACTCCACCCCCCGCCCATGTGGCTGGCCAATGCCAACCGGCCAATCAGCCTCTGGTCCAGGTCCCTGGTCACTGCCTCGGTGGAGTCCTCTTCCGAGGTGTATGCCACCATCCCATCGCCGGTCGGGGCGGCCGATGTCATCGGCGAAAATGCCTCGCGCCTCTTCGACCCAATGCGCCTCCCCCGACTGGAGGGGGTTATCCGGCCAGAGGGGGCCATCGCGCTGGAGCTCCTTCGCGCGGATCCCTTTCTGGCTCGTCGTACGCCCCACCCGACCGCGGGCCAGCGCTCCTTCGGGTTGGATGTGCCGGCGGCCGACGATGAGCCCGATGATGTGGCCTTTGCCACGCCCACCAGGCAGGCAAGTGGCCCAACCGGCGACGGCAATTTGGAGCGTGCCGGCAAAAATGCCCAAAGTACCCCGATCCCCGGGGCCTCGCTGCCGGCAGTTGGCAATCCTCGGTTCTCGCCTTCTCGCAAGGCGTCCTGTGCGAATTCCCTGCAGGATGGCAATCACCGGGGCTCGCCCACGCGCTCGGGCGCCGCCCCGGCCTCCCCCCTGCCTGGGCTCCCGGCCACCTGCGAATCGCCGAGTGACGTCACCTTTGTCGAGTCGCGCACGACCTCGCCTTCGGGCCCGGGCCAGCCATTGTCCGGGACAGCTCAGCTGTACGCGGAGCTCAGTAGCCCTGGTCTGCTGAATACCGGGTCGCCCACCGAGCCGCAGCTGACGCCCGCCAGCCGAGCGGTCCAGAGCGTCGGGTACCAGGGGAGCCTGCCGTTGGCGCTGGCCATCGGCTTCACGGATCCCTGGTCTTCGGCTGCCTCCGGGCAGGAGGTCCCCCCGCCGACCAGTGTGCGTGCCCTGACCCACCTGGCCGCGGCGTACTTTGCCTCGCTGGAGGCTTGCTACGCTGATCCGGTGGATCTGCAGTCGGCGCCTGGCCTGCTGGCATCCACGGCATCCAATAGCACGCTCGTCGCCTGTGGCCTCGGGTCCCTTTCAGCCGGAAGTCTCCCTGGTGGTCCGGCATTGGGCAGTTTGGCGCCGGTCCCGCTGGCCAATCCGCTGGACCCCTCTCGTCGGCGTTTCCCCCGGGTGGCCTTCGCTCGGAGTCGCATCCACGACTGGGGTGTATTCGCGTGTGAGAACATCGAGCCCGGCGGTGTGATCTTCGAGTACATCGGTGAGTTGATTGGAACCAAGGTGCGCATCGGCCAAGTCTGTCCATTTTGTCCCCTTTCCTTTTCCTTTTTTTTTGCCCCCTTGCCTCCCGATCATCACCCTGTCTCTGTGCTACTCGAGAGGCCGATCCCTGACGCCGAGCCGCGGCCATGTCTTCCCTTCCTTTTCCTGCCACACCCCGGGGGTAGGTGTCCGAGCGCCGCGAGAAGGCCTATACTGCTCGTGGCATCGGCAGTTCGTATCTCTTCCGGGCCGGCGATGATCGAATCATTGATGCCACTTTGTCCGGCGGCATGGCCCGATTTTTGAACCACTCGTGCGATGTGCGTTCGCTGCCTTCCCGCCGTTGCGTTTTGTTTGATCTCGCGCATCTGACCCCCTGGCCATGGTCACTCCCTTCTTTTCTCTGTCCCTCCCTCTTCCTCCTCCTCGTCTCTCTCTCTCTCTCTCTCTCTCTCTCTCGCTCCCCATGTCCCTCATTCTTGTGGCGACATTGATGTCCTTTTTGTTTGTTCATCGACGTGGGGCCCCCCTCCTTCTAGCCCAACGCCTTCGCCAAGGTCCACTTCGACACGTCCACCTCGGCGGCTCCTTTTGTTGGGAGCTATGCTGATGCCCAGGGCCACGCCGCCGGCGGGGCTGGCGGTAATTCCGATGACGCTGGCGGCCACCCCAGCCAATCGTCGACCCCCGGCTTCTCCATCGACAGCCCGGGTGTGGTGCGCTCTTTCGGGGAGATGGTCCAGTTGGGAGGGCGCCCCGGAGCCACAGAGCGCATTTTCTTCCATGCCAAGCGCGCCATCGCTGTGGGCCAGGAAATCACCTTCGACTATCAGTTCCCCCTGGAGGACGAGCTCGAGGAGCGGGTTCCCTGTCTCTGCGGCTCGCCCAATTGCCGGGGGACATTGAATTGAACGCGGCCAGCCGATTGGGTGCATACGTGCGTGCGTGCGTGCGTGTGCCCCCCCCCCCCTCCCCCCCTTGCCGGTCGCTGGCCATTGAGATCGCCTCTCCTGCTTGCGTCGATCTCTCGGGCGCCCGAAAAAAAAAAAAGAAGCCCCCCATCCCCCCCCCCAACAACTCCAACACCAACAGGAGCCGCTCCGCGTGCGCTCCACACCCATTGTACTTGAGAGAGAATAGACATGGGACCCGGCGCGCCACCCGCGCGGCGGAGTGCCAACGAACACGCCCTAAGCAATCGTGCTCCGATCTTGGTCCGATCTCGGCGAGTCTTCCTTGTGGGACGCCGCGGCATCCGCCAATTCCATGGCAAGGGACAACGGGCGACAAGCAGGCGGCTCCGCTGCCCTGTGGGGTTGAACAAAGGCACAGGCGCCCCCCCCCCCCCCCCCTCTGGGCGCCAGCGCATGGACCATGCTCTTTCAATTGTGTGCCCTCGCTTCGCTTGACACCCTCGCGCCGTGGGTTGCTCTTTCTCTTGAGGCACACGCGCCCGCCCATTGCCCGGCTGTTCAGCTCATCGCGCCTTTCATTCGCCCTTCCCTCCCCTCCTCCCCTTTGCCTCTTTTGCGGGACGCCCTCCCAACTCTCCTCCTCTCTCTCTCTCTCTCTTGGGCTCCGCACCGCCATGGGTGAGTACATTCAGCAGGGCATGCCCGAAGAGAGATCTGGGGCGGGCACTTACGCACCAGTCCCACCGGCGCTCCTGGCAAAGACAGACCTCGTGCGAAGCCTCTCGGACCCCGGCGTATCGGGGCTCGTGTCTCTGTCGGATTTTGAAAATCTCTCGGATCTAGACTCCATGGAGTATGGCATGGACTTGCTCGACACTCCGCTTGCCAACTCGACCCCGGCCGACACCCCGCCGGCCTGCTCGACCCCGGTCGACCCTCTGGCCGGCGATCCGGCTCCAGGTGACGCCGCGCCCGTCAAGATGGCGCCAAATCCCATGTCGACCGATGATTCAGCACAGGGCGCCCCGGTCGACGAGGCGATGTCTGGCACTTGGCCCGTTCCAAATGCCCCGGCCAGTGGTCCTGAGGCAGTGACCTTTGCTCCGCACGATGAGGGCCAGGATCGGGCGCCCTACTCGCGGGAGGGCAATGCCCGGAATCTCCTGAGCTCCGGGCCTTCATTCATGCGCCTGACCATCACAGATGTGTCGCCAGTGACTGACATCCTCGATCCGAGGTACTCCGGTGATTGGTCCACCAAGCAGCGGGTGCGCATGGCTCCCTCTTCCCGCCCTTGCATTTGTCCTGTGCTCCGTTTGCCATCCGTCCCTTCCGGCCCCTCATCCTTCAGTGGGGGAGACTGCGCACACTCACACACCGCCACACGCCCCAACGTGGGTGCACACACACATACGCACACATGTGCACGCCCGCCCGCCCGCCCGCCCGCCCGGACATACGAACACATCGCGCCCACCGGCTAGGCTGTTTCCGTCTATCACCCCGGGGTCCAGCGGGATCTGGAGGTGCTTCTTCGCGATGACTGGGCCTCCCTGCCTCTGGAGGTTGGGCTCTCGGTGCAAATCATTCCGCGGCAGTTCTTCAGCCAGGATAGCCTCCCCACGCGGTCGGTGGCCCGAGCATATCACCTCTTCGAGAGCGCGCTCCTCGGCCAGGCCTCCGATGTCATGGGCGAGGCCTTGGCATTGCCGCTGGTTGTCGACAATGAGGGCGGCCTTCTCATTGTCAATCCCGACTTCCTGTTCCCCAGCGGAGATCTCGCACGCGCACACTGCAGCCGCCAGACGGTGCTCAAGAAGTATTTCGGCTCGAAATTCACGGGAAGTACCGATTCCCTCCGAGGGTCGATGGTATGCGGCGCGGGCTGTTCTTCAGCGCTTTCCTCCCTCCTTCTTTCTTTCTTTCTCTCTCTCTCTCTCTCCCTCTCTCTGTCGCTTCGTCGCCCCCTTTCCCCTCTTCCTCGCCGACGGCCACTCCCCCTACCCGCGTCTCCCTACTGCCTTTCTAATCCCCCGTGCCCACTATGCACTCTCTCTCTCTCTCTCCCCCACCTGTGCCGGATGTTGTTCCGCACCTCCCCACCGCGGGGGCACTGCGCAGGTTCATTTGATGGTGCAGCAAATCTTGATGTCCGGCAGGCGGGATGCTCCGTTCGAGGAGCAGCTCATCAAAGACATCATCGAAGACAACCGCATCAAGATTTTCTCGCTCGGCTACACGCTCGACGTGGCGGCCAACCTCCTGCGACAATATCTACTCGGCGTTCGGCAATGGATGGACAAGCATTGCGCCCTGGCTGGACCGGTTGTGGATGAGAAGTTCCCGGCCAAGGCCAAGGCCAAGGCCAACTCCATGGCCCTGTCTGAGAACCTGATCCTCCGGCTGCTGAACATCGAGGAAAGCCTGGTGTCCCCATTGCTCGGCTTGAGCGGATTCGTCGATGCCATGGTGGAGTATCAGGTTGATGGGGGCGGAGTGCAAGTGGCCCCGCTGGAGGTGAAGACTCGCGGGACCATGTCCTCCATGCAGTACTTCCTGAACGACTTCGAATCGCAGCTGGCCATCTATTCGCTACTGGCATCCGAGCGGTATGACCAGCCGGTTGTCTCGGGCCTGCTGTATGTGCAGGTGGTGCACCATCGATCCTGGGGTGGCATCCCCTCCGGGGAGGCCTCCTCGACAGGTGACCAGAGCTCCCAGCCCCCTCACAGTGAGTCCATCTACCATCCTTTCACGGCCACCTGGGAGGCCATCAAGGAGCTGCTCATCAGGCGGAATGAGCTTGTCTCCTTCTTGCAGGATTCCCGGCCTCGCTTTCCGGAGCCGCTGTCGGCCTCCTTCCACCGGACTTGCGAGAGGTGCGACCTGCGGCAAGCGTGCCTGCTGGCCGGGCGCATGCTCGAGGGCGGGGCCCCCTTCGACCAGATGGCCATCACCACGGCCCTCGTGGAAATGGATGAGGAGCTCCGGGAAAAGAGCACCCCCGCGGTGTCCCTGGCCGACGGACGTCCCGGCGACTCCGCAGGCCAAACCCCCGGCAGGTCCCCCACACCGAAGGTGCCCTCGGCACGCGCCTTCCTCGGGACACTGGTGCCCGATCACAATCGGGCAGCGCACCGGCTGGCCGGGACAAGCACCTCGCAAACGCTGTCCCTTACCGGGACGCAGACATCTGCCGGAGGCGCGCCGCCTGGAGCCACCTTGCCGGAGTCGCTTCTCGTGGGCCCGGTGCATGAGGCTCTCCTGCAGGCCATGCGTCGGCGGCACCTTGCCACGGATGGGATCCAAGCGGCGGTCCTGTCGCGCGATGCCGCCATCACGAGCGCCCCGGCTTCCGGCGGCCTCGGCATCTTCCCCGAGCCGGAGGCTCCGCTTCGACCGGGGCAAATCCCCCGGCCGGTGCCGAGCAGCCACAGTCGCTTCGTCGGGTTGCACTATCTGGCCGAGACGAGCGCCGTGACCGAGGAGCATGGGCGCTTCCTTCGGCACTGGCTGCAGTTGGTCGATGTGGAGGAGTCCCTCCGGGACCAGGCCACGGCCTCCGAGGAGGATTCCTTCTGGCAAACTCCCGCACATCGGCGCGCGGCGCTCGGCTTTTCGCTGGATGGTTTGGAATTCGGCAGCCTGGTCACGCCGGGCATGGGCTCCGGCCCGGGGCGTTCCCCGAAGTTCCATCGCTATTCGGATCCCACATTGCCGCTCAACTCCGGGAGGACGCCGCGCGATCTGCTTTACCGCTTCCGGCTTCACTGTCCGGCTGGCTTTGTGGCGGCGGCGGCGGCGGCGGCGGCGGCGGCGGCGGCATCGACCCCGGCCGCCGTCTCGGCCTCCGGGCCAGGCCCCATGGCGAGGCCCGACACCGGCCCCAATGCCTCCCTCGCCCGGTGGCCAGCCAGCGCGGCGCTGTTGACGCGAGTGCTGGTGGCCGGGCTGGCGGCCGAGCTCGGGCCCGACTTCCTGGGGTTCTTCCAAACGATGGCCGTCCGAGGCCGAGCCGGGCCGGGAGTCCGCCGCGGGCGAGCCCCCTCCGGCCTGCCGCTGGACTTGGTGCCCCTCGGGCCGGACGAGCGGGGGACCCTCCGGCGGCTGCGGCGCCGGGCGCGGGCCATCTTTCTGTCCTCCTCCACCGCCAGCTGGCTGTCCAACATCTTCAAGCGCATGTACATGGGGAAGGGCTACACCTTGAGCGCCGGCGACTCGATCGGCCTCGCCACAATGTATCTGGAGGGTGCGTGGCTTGACCGGGGCCGGCGCCTTGCCGACACCAATGACATGGCCTTCACCCGGGTGGCCGGTGTGCCAAATGGCCCGGCCGGGGCCGGCCTTGCGGGGGAGCTTCTTCTGGCCGAGTGGCTGAGCCAAGTGCTTGGCTTCCGCCCGGTCTTGGAAATCAACCTCTCCACCAAGCACATCTTCCGGCCGCCGCCGCTGCTGCTGGCTGGGTCGAGTTCCTCGGGCCGGCGCTTTGCCGGGACCGAAGATCTACCGGACCTGGAGGACATCTGCGAGCCGGTTTCCCCCGGAGGACCGACCCTTCGCGAGCGGCCGCTGTTGTATCGGTATGTTCCTCTGGTCCACTTTTGCCCGGCATCCATGCCCTTGCGCACATGTGCGCGTTGCCCCCCCTGCTCGCGCACTCGTTCACATGTCCGCGCCTTTTGGCCCTTTCTCTCCTTTCCGCCCGCCCCTCACATCATGCCGTCCCTCTGCGGATCGTAGCCTGGAGGCCTGGAGTAGCTCCAGTTTCCGTCAAACCGCCCAGCGCCAGGCTCTGCTCGATCTGTTCGGCTTCTCCGGAGCTCAACGCCTTCGCGAGCTGGTGGTCGACTTGGAAGGTCCGCTTTACTTCTTGCCGGGGGCCCCCCTGTTTTTGACTCTGCCTCTTGGAGGGGGCTTTCCCCCGATCTCCCTGCCTGACGCTCTCTGCCACTTGGCTGCCTGGCCATCCGCGGATGCGCCATCTGGCGCCCGGACGCCCTTGGTGTGGGTGCCCCCTTTGCTGGGGATCTTCCCGCGCGCAGCCCCGCGCTTCTCGGCCGTGCCCACATTGACCGAGATTGCCGAGTATCTTCCCCAAGCCGAGGACCCGGCGCTGGTGAATGACGACCAACAGCTGATGCTCCGCAAGGCCCTGGCCGGTGCGTTCCTCCGAACACAAGAAAGCCCGCTTTTCCTCGCATCCCCCCCCCCCCGCTGCCGCTGCCCCTGCATCATGCGGCGTATCTTTCCTCACCCGACGCCTGTCCCTTGGACTTCCTTCGCTTGCAGTCCAAGACTACATGCTCGTGCTGGGCATGCCTGGCGCCGGCAAGACGACAACCATCTGCTGGCTGATTCTCCTGTACCTGCGGCGCTTCCCGAATGCGCGAGTTCTGGTCGCCTCGCACACGCACTCGGCCGTTGACAACATCCTGCGTAAGCTCCTGGACTTGGAGCCCTCCTGCCCTATCATGCGCATCATCTCCGACTTCACCTCCACTGGCATGCACGCCAGCAATGCCTCCGGCACCATGGGCTCCGGCGATGCCCCAGCCTCCCCCCACATCGAGGACCAGTCACCTGTGGATCCGGTGGTGCTGCAGCACACCATCCAGGCGAAGAACTTCGGCTCGCTGGCCGAATACCAGGCATTCCTGGCATCGGTTCGGGTTGTTGGCTCCACGTGCTTGAGCTGCAAAAAGTATGTTGTCCTGCCCTCTTTCCACTTTTCGCATATCTGTATGTCTGTGTGTCTGTATATCTGTGTGTCTGTGTGTCTGTCAATGCGTGTCTGCATATCTGTGTGTCTGCGTGTCTGTCAATGTGTGTCTGCATATCTGTGTGTCTGTGTGTCTGTCAATGTGTGTCTGCACATCTGTGTGTCTGTATATCTGTGTGTCTGCGTGTCTGCGCGTGTGTCCATGTGTGTCTATCCCCTGCTCCAGCCCCATGGATAACTGACACCCGGGTCCAGTCAACACATGGATGAGGTTGGTCGCTTTGACTTGTGCATCATCGACGAGGCATCGCAGGCGCAGCTGCCGCAGGCTCTGATGGCGGCGCACCGAGCGGACTGCTTCATCATGGTCGGCGACCTCTATCAACTTCCGCCAGTCGTCCAGTCGAGCCTGGCCAAGAATCAGCCCGCCGGCGGTGCCCCGGGCGCCGGCCAGGAGGATGGTCTCGATCAGAGTCTCTTCCGTCGACTGGCATCGGCCCATCCCAGTGCCATTCTCTCTCTCAGTCGACAATACCGCATGAATGGCCCGATTCGCCAGCTGTCCAACCAACTGGTGTATGGCGGCCGGCTGCTTGCCGGGTCGGCCCGCGTCGAGGCCACGACTCTCCGCTGGCCCGGGGACTTTACTCGGCTCCCCGGTGACTTGGATCCCTCGCAGTTGCTGGCGGGCTCCGAGGGCCGCCACGCTCGGGCCATTCCCACCCCGACTCCTGGGCAACCTTTCAGCGCCTTGGGCGCGGTGTTGCCCCCGGGGCTCGAAGCCAAGGGCGCCGACCTATGCAGCATGCTTGGCCCAGATCTACTCAACCGTCTGGTTGGCTGCTGCGGGTGCTGCGCCGAGAGCCCCGGCGCCGGCGCCGGCGACGGCTCGAGCCCCGAGGCCTGCTGGCTGTCAGCCATCCTCGAGCCAGGGTACGCTGACACTCGGTTTTTTTTTCGGCCCCCGTGCCCTTGTGCCGATCCCCCCTCCTTCCCTTCCTTCCCCCCTCTTTGTGCTGTCTGACTCCCATGCTGTTGGCCCTCTGCCCCTCGTGGGCTCAGCCACTCGGTGATCTTCCTGGACACGGATCGCCTGGCCGAGATGGATCAAAACATGCTCGAGCAACACTCGCAGGCAAGCTCCATGTCGGTGGTGGATGATTTGCTGAAGGCCCTGGCGGATGATGGTGCCCCTCCTTCCCTCCCCTCGGCAGATGGTTCTGCCAATGGCCAGACAGATTGCCCCTCCGCCGGTCACCCGTCCGGCCGGTCCGGCGGTCTGACCACCAACCTCGGGGAGGCTCTCCTGGTCCGTGAGGTTCGTTTGCATGGGCTCCGTCCGTGTGGTGGACTTTCCTGCGTGCGCTCCTTTTCACACTAACCGCGTGGGCTTGCGCCATGCTCTGCCTGTGTGGCTTTTTGCCAGGTGGCCCTGGCCCTGCTGCGTGCCGGGCTAGACCCCAATTCCATCGGCGTGATTGCCACCTACCGCGCCCAGCTGTCGATCATTCAGACGGTCATGCACTCGGCCGACTACACGGACCCCGATACCGGGACCACCTTTTCCAGCCAGCCGCTGGCAGCTGGCGCAGGCATGCGTCCGGCCGTCGGGGGTGGCCTGTCTGCCTCGGCGGCTCCCCTCTCGGCTACCGGCGTCCATGGCACCCAGCTGGCCATCCTCTCGCAAACACAGTCGCAAGCGGGCGCCGCGTCGGGGCCCGCTGCGGGAATGGCCTGCCTGGTGGACGGTGGCCCCCCGACCAAGAAGAAGGCCAGCTTCTCCGACATGCTGTCCCTTGTCGAGGTGAACACGGTCGACAAGTACCAGGGCCGCGAGAAGGAGGTGGTTGTGGTGTCTTTCACCCGGTCGAACAGCACCGGCGCCGTGCGTCTTTTTTCCGGCCCTTCTTCCTCTTCTTCTTTCCGTGCCTTTTTCCACTGACATACCCCCCTTTCCACCCGCATCTCCGCTCGTCTTCCCCTCTCTGCTCCTGGTCCCCCATCCCCCCCCCCCTCCCCCCTCCCGGCCGTCTTGGCCCCACGCCCCCGGCGGCGTCCATTGCGACCGATGCCAGTTCGGCGATCTCCTGAAGGAGTGGCGTCGAGTGAATGTGGCCATCACCCGCGCCAAACGCAAGCTCGTGCTCGTGGGCAGCGGCCGGACTTTGGCCCACAGCCGTCTGATGGAGATGGTCCTGCAACATGTGTCCCACAGCCCTGGCTGCCGGGTGGTTTCGGCGCCGCCCACCGGCGCCACCCTCGCCCAGGGCCCCTGCCTGCCGGTGCTTCCCATTCCGCTGGACCTGCCCCCCTTCAGTCCCACAGCCAGCCCTCCAGGCTGTGGTGCAAGCACACAGCCCGATCTCCAAGACAGCCCGGCGTCGCTGGCGGAAGATGGCCTTCCGCCGGGGCTGGCACCTGGCAGCCCCTTGGCGCCCTTGCCCTCGGCGCCAGATCTCCTGGGCTCTGGCAGCGGCTCGTTCCTCTCCCTGCCCAGCCTGGAGTCCCTCACGGCCGAGCAGTGCGTTCACTGGACACGCCGGGGGGCGGCCCGGGCCCCTTCGAGGACCGTGGTCCGGACATCATGCGACGATGCACGTGACCCGCCGTCCCCATGCACGGGATCCAAGCGCGCTCGGACTGCAGAATAGTCCCCCGATAGCCATCCGTGCCCCCGGGTCTCGCGGGGGCTACGTTGCTCGGTGTCAACATAGAAGAAGGGCCCCCCCCCGGCCTGCGAGCCGCGTTTTCGTGGGGTGGGCACTTCCTTCCCGAGAGGTCCCCGGCTCCCCCCCCCCCCCCCGGGTCAACCAGCGTCGGGAGCTCTCTTGACTTCCTGGTCGGTCGCGGTCCCAGGCCAGGAGGGTCTCCCACACGCCATGGTTGACCGGAGCACCCGGTCGCGGACTCCTGCGCCTGTTCAGGGGGCTGATTCAGTGTATTTCTTGCGGCGTGCTGCGAGAAGGCGCATGGCCAGCTCGCCTTAATTCGCTCTCTTAAAGTTAACACCAGGAGCAGCCGTTTGATTGTGGGGACACGCGTGGATTGTGGTCAAGGCGTGCGCCGTGCCACGATGGCCGTGGAAGGCCGCCCCCCCCCTCCCCCCCCCCCCCCCCCCCCCCCCGTCCCCCCTCCCGCGAGGGGACTGAGTTTGCTCTCTGGTGTATCAATAGGCTGCATCTCTTCCACAATTATTTGTCGTGTGGGGGGGCTCGTCCCGGGCCGGTGTGGTGCGGTGTGGTGCGGTGGCTCCCCTCTCGTCACCATGGCCGCCTGCATTCGCGTGGGAAACTGTGCCAGGTGGTGAGGGGGGGGGGGCGGGCGTGGGCTGGGGGCGGGGGTGATGCGAGCCGGCGAAAATGCGGACTGACAAGCGCGGAACAGGGGAGGGCGTGACCCTCTCGCCTCTTGCCGACCTCCCGCCTCCCTGTGGCATCGCGTCCTCCAAACCCCTGTGCTGGCCATGAGCAGGAGGGTGGGTTGTCGTCATGTCTGCGTGTCGGCCGGTGTGGCCGGGGGAGGAGGCGGGGCGGGGGTCCCAGGGCGGAGGGGGGAACGGGGAAAGAGGATAGACAAATAAATACCCCCTGCGAAGCGCGTTCACCGGTCCCGGGGCGCAGACAAATCCCATTACCATAACCAAACCACCCATCCTGCCTTCAGAGCACCTACGTCCTTTTTTCACCCACGCCCAGACGCACACGAACTGCGTAAAGCCGAATATGTACCTCGCCTCCCCCTGTCCATGATGTCGCCCATTTTGCTTCTTCCCTGCGTCGTCCGTCTGCTGTGCCGATCGTCCTCGGGAGGCCCCACCTGAGCGGCAGCAGCATGGCTTCGGCTTTTGCTGCCCGTCGCCCCCCCCCCCCCCCCGCCTCGCGGCTGACCTTGGGCGGGTGGCAGGTCCGCTGCGAATGCGGCCTGTTTGCCATCGGCGCCTCGCTGTGCCGACCGGCCTGGCCGTGTGGCTGGCTCCCCTTTGCGCCGCGGCCCCTCAAGCGCATGCCAAAAACTCCCCACTAACCGCCGCCCCTCCGACCCCCCTCCCCCTGGTCGTCCAAGACAATGTCGACATCCCAAGTCAATAAGGATGTCGGCCAGCAGCAGCACGACCTGCAGCCCGGGGCGGTGTCACCGCCCGTGGCTGTGGCCGACGCCGCTCCCGCCGAGTCCTCCAGAGGGGGACTGGGCGTGCTGCGGTCGGCCAAACTCCTTGTGACCCTGCTGGCCGCCACCATCGCCTGCGCCACCGTGGTGCATGCCCAGTCCGTGGCACAGCGCCACGGTACGGTCATGTTCCAGCCGGTCCCGGTCCCCGGAGCGGCTGGCGCCCCCGGCCAGCCGGCCGTGGTGCCCAATCCCAATGTCCTCCTGATCACCGAGGAGGAGGACCTCCCCTCCAGCATGCAGTCCTGGCCCGTGTGGCTGTGGAACAAGGTACGCGCTTGATTTCCCCACCGGGGGCCCCCTCGTGCCGGCCCGGCAGCTGGCCCCTCGTTGGCCATTGAATCCTTCGGATGTGCCGGCCTCCTCCTGCTCCTACTTCGGGGTTGACTCCTTGTCCCCTTGTTTGGCGCTCGCTCACGCCCTGCCTCGCGGCCCGTGCTTCGGACCCATGGATGTCGGCATTGCCGCCGCCGCCGCCGCCGCCGCCGCCGCCTTCGGTTGGATGCGCCGGTGACATGCACAGCTTACGGGACACGGCAACCGCGCCGTCGTAAAGTGGAATACCCCAGGCAACACCTATCTGCTCTCGGAGGTTGAGAACGAGATGCAGATGGAAAACATCGAGGTGCGTCAAAAGGAGCAGCGGCTTCCCTTCCCCGGCATGTGAACGGCCCGGCCGCTCTCCCAATACGAAGCAAGCCGACACTTGGAGGGGCGGCGTGGCGTGTTTTGCTTTCCGCACGACCATGCATTTTCCCCAGCCCCAGCCTGCCCTGCCGGCAGAGCCATCCCCACCCCCCCCTCGGCCTGCTCGGCAACCGCCCGAGTCCCGGCCAAGTAGCCTGGTCCTGACACAAATACCCCCTCTCATGTAGGACGCGGCGGCCACACGCCCGCAGACGGTCATCACCGCCGGCGGCACGCCCCCCATCATCAAGTATGCGCCGCATTTAAAAGAGCAGAGGGGCACGACGTCGCGCCCGGGGAAGAAGACAAACGGTGACGGAGCTTCCAAGGCCGACCTTCCCTCCAACGGCGCCGTGCCCCCTTCCCCGGCCCAGGCCACCAAGTCCGACCTGGAGCAGTTGGCGGACTCGATTCGCCAATCGGAGGAGCGCATGCTGCAAGCCACCGAGCGTCTGCACAATGAGCTCGGCCAGCTGTTGGATTTCGGCTCGCCCGGGACCCTTCGCCCGGAGGAGCGCGTACGTGTACCCCCCCACTGAGGCTGGACATCCGTTGGAGATTGCCCTCTCCCCGGCGTGCCCCCTGCCACGCGTGGCCATCTTTGCCATCGCGGCGGGCGGGGAAGCGGGAGAGCGAGAGAGAGCAAGAGCGAGAAGTCACACACCGGAGGGCGAGAAAGAGAGGGACACGTCCTCGTGCCGCCCCGGCGCGCGAGGAAGGCCCGCCGGGGGAGAGCCTCGCACGGCCAGGGCCACGGGCTGCGGGGGCATGTCGGGCCGGGGATGAATAGAGATCGTCACTTGCCAATCTTGGCGCCTGTTTTTTTTTTTTTTTCACCGCATCGAGTTGCTGGGCTCTGACACCGAAGTGTGAATTCGCCTATTGGGCCTTTCCCCGCCGCCCTTCCCCGACGGGGACGGGACCTCCCCTGCCGGCTCGGCTCCCCTGTCCCTATGTGCTGGGACCCGGTGGCCGGGACCGTGCTGGCTATCGGGCCGCTCCATCCTTCCGGCCTCCTGCGCGTGCATGGGTGCTTGTGCGCGCGAATGGCCGGGACGTCGGCCGGGGCCTGGCAACAGCGTGCCCTTGCCCGGATGAAGGACGCGGCCATCCCCCTGGCCGGAGACTTTCCGAAGAGGGGGGCCGCCTCGGCGCCGCCGGCGAGGCGGCCCAGCGGCGCGCGCGGTACGACGTCGCTTTCGGCGATGCCGGTTGTCCAGTCGCAGATTAGCGTGACCCGCCCGACCGGCGCATCGCCTGCCACCGACGTCGGGACCATGGTGGCCCGGCACATGGTGGCGCACGAGCGCGCCCACCGGGCCAACCTCCAGCAGCATGCCAAGCTCCACTGGGCCAGCCAGCAGCTGCCCTTCCACCCGGAGTGGCGCTCGGTTCGGGCCTGGTTCGGCCCCGAGCCGGCGGCCTACTGGCATGACAGCGACACATGCCCGGTGCCCCAGGGCCCCGGGGCGTATGCCGAGTGTGCGGCCATGCACCGGCGCCATGGGGCCGATGCGGACACCCTGCCCGGCGCCCTGGCCAGCTTGACCTGGTGGCGGCGCATCCTCTGGGGCCCGACGTACACGAGCGAGGAGCTGGCCAACCAGCTGGCCGGCCGCCAGCCCGTCACGTCGACCTTCTTCGATTACGACCGCGAGATGAGTGCCTGCCGGGTGGATCCCCACCTGGAGGTCCAACGGCCGGCCGGCATCGGCAAGAGCACCCTGGTCACGCCGGCCGAACGGCCAGCCGCCGCGCGGATTCGACCCGACCAGATGCGTCCAGCCCGGGTGCTGGACTACAGCCAGTCCAACATGTCGGATCGGCTGCGCGGGGACATCCGCCGGGCCGATCGCGAGGACCGCCAGCTGGCCGGCACCCCGGTGGCCCCGAGCCCCGGGCCGCAGCAGCTCGCGCTCAACTTTCTCAAGCGGGTGCGTGTTTCTACCTGGGCACATCCCACGATTGCGATGGACAGCGGGGGGGGGGGGGGGAGGGGTGGCCAGCGGTTCACTTCTCTCTCGTACCCCCTTCGAGGGGACACATTTCTCTCCTGCCGCCGGCCGCCATGGGCGGCGGGCTATGTTGAGTGGGCCGAGTTATCTGACCGCCGATCTATCATTGTCGCCCACCGTTCGAACCGCCATCGTGTGTGTGTGTGTGTGTGTGTCCATGGGTGTGGATGGGTGTGCCGTGGTCGATGTCATTGTGACTGGCGCACAATGGCTCGCACTTGCTTGGTGCGATGGCCTCACTCTCGCTGCTTCCCAACGCATGTGGAATCGGGCCCCCCATGCATGGGCTCTACTTTGCTGGCCGGCTCCGCTGGTGTGGTGTGGCCCTCCTCTTGCCGGACATTCGGACTTCCGTCTGCGCATGACTGGGGGGGGGGGGCGGGGGGGGATGGACCTCTGGCTCGGGGGGACCGGCCCTGCGGCTCGGCCTGACACTCGGCCCGGTGTATGCCCCGGTGCGTGTTCAGCTCATCTGGGGCGGCAGTGTCCGCCCGATGGACGGCGGCCAGGCCCTGATGAAGGGCCCGACCGTCGAGCAGATCCGCAACGGCTTTTCGCGCAACGACATCCCGCTGGCCTTTCTTCAGCCCGGCCCAATGGACCGCCGGGCATGGCGCCTGCCCACCGGCATCGGGGTGAACCTCGCCCGGCATGTGGGCAACTCGATCGGCCTGACGCGCATGGTCCACACCGTCGGTGAGGCCATCGAGCGCGGGGACCGGCTTCTGAGCCAGGTCGCCCAGGGGGCAGGATCCACCGTGTCCGATACGCTGCAAACCGTGGCACACCATGTGGTCACCGAGGCCGCCGATGCGGCCGTGCAAAAGCTCCATGGCGTGGGCAGCTCGGCCGCTCGGCTGGCCAAGACCCCGGCCTTGGTGGATGCCCAGCGCCGGACGGCGGCCACTGCCGAGCAGGCCATCCGCTCGGCCGAGAAGGGCGCCCGGCAGGTGACCGAGCAGGTGCGCGGCCAGGCACGCTGGGCCGCCGACGCGGTGGCCAGCACCCTGGCCGGGGCCCCGGCCGCGGCCGAGCGCCTTCGCTCGCAGACCGGCCAGGCGGTTTCCCACTTGCAAAAGGAGGGAGCGGCCCTGGTTGAGCAACTGCAGAAGGACGGCTCGGTCTTGGTGGACAAGCTCCAGAAGGAGGGCGCTGCCAAGTACAATCAGCTGGTGAAGGACGGCTCGGCCACGGTCAACCAATTGGTCAAGGAGGGCACGGCCACCTACCAGAAGCTGCAGCAGGAGGGCGCCAGCCGGGTGAAGAAGCTCCGCCAGGAGGGCGCCGCCACGGCAGACCGCCTGCAAAAGGCCGGCACGGCCAAGTACAACCAGATGGTCAAGGACAGCGCGGCCCAGCTTGCCAAGCTGCAGAAGGACGGCGCGGCCGTGGTGTCCAAGCTCCAAAAGGACGGCACGGCCAAGTACAACCAGCTGGTGCAGGATGGCTCGATGATCGCCGACAAGCTCCAGAAGGAAGGCGCTGCCACCTACAAGAAGTTGGTGAAGGACGGCTCAGCCGCCCTGACCCACCTGCAGAAGGAGGGCACGGCCAAGTACAACCAAATTGTCAAGGACGGCACAGCCATCGCCAACAAGCTGCAGAAGGACGGCACAGCTGCGGTCAACAAGCTGCAGAAGGAGGGCACGGCCATGGTCAACAAACTCCAGAAGGACGGCACCACCAAGTACAAGCAACTGGTCAAGGATGGCTCGGCCACCTATCAGAAGCTGCAGAAGGAGGGGGCCGCCAGCTACAAGAAACTTCGCAAGGAGGGCACGGCCACGGTCAATCGTCTGCGTAAGGACGGCACGGCCATGGTCAACCAATTGCAAAAGACCGGCACGGCCAAGTACAACCAGATGGTCAAGGACAGTGCGGCCCAGCTGGCCCGGCTCCAGAAGGAGGGTGCCGCCACGGCAAAGCGCCTCCGCCAGGAGGGCGCCGCGGCGGTGGACTCCCTGAAGAAGAACAGCCCTGCCGCTTTGACGGCCCTCGGCAAGGAGGGCGCCGCCAAGTTGGCCCAGCTGCAGAAGGAAGGCACGGCCACCTACAACAAGCTGGTGAAGGATGGCTCAGCCACCCTGACCAAGCTGCAGAAGGAGGGCACCGCCAAGCTGACCCAGCTGCAGAAGGACGGCTCGGCCCTGGCCAGCAAGCTGCAAAAGGAGGGCGCCGCCATGGCCACCACCCTGCAGAAGGAGGGCGCCGCCAAGCTGACCCA